ATAATTAAATATATAAAAATACCTAACTTCTCCTGCTTTTGCAATCTTATTGAAATAAAAAAGGCCTATTTTTTCAGTGCTTTGTTGTTTTTCACCTGGTCGTTGTTGCTGGCCCATTTATTTGCTATGATTATATTTGCAAAGTTATTTTTGTGCGATATTCTGAGTTGTTAGTGTTACCGTTGGTGCGCGGCGGTAAATTGATCAAGCAAATCGTCAACTACTTTGAACTTTGCATGAATCCCACTCATTTATGGAAAATATAGTCTGATGGCGGATATATAAATAGTTTGCTCTTTATTTCGGTTAAGTGATATTATACACAAATCTGTGTCAGCCCGCGTAGCCATAAGCAATAAGTATAGGGCTCCTTAGAAATAAAAATGATTTTCATAATCAATAATTAATATGAATATGATATGAGACGCCATCATAGATCGGGAAATTGAAATCGAGCGGCCGTCCATTTAAGAAATACGGCCGCATTTCTTGTTTACTTTGCTTCCACTGTATTAAGTTATTTAGGAATTAAAATCAAACTCTTTTGTCAATAACCAAACACAAGTAAATATTTTGTTCTAGCAGTTCATAAATCAATTTGCAATTTCATCCTTCCTACGTTTCTAAATTTACAGCATTTCCGAGTTTACTTAACTCGTTCCTGACGTCAAAGTCTTGACGTGAAATCGCAAAAATTTTGCACTTTAAAAATGAGTTGCTCATGCTGTACTGTCCTCAAGTTCAGTCGAACTTGGAGCCGATTTCAGATGGAACAAATACTTTGAACTAGAGTAATTTAAGTTTTCTTAATGATCTTTGTTTTTTGTCTTGTCTTTAGTCTGTATCTGAATTAAAATAGATCATCCTTCCAACGGGTAGTAGTTTTATACGTTTGTTGGCATTCGGTGCAAGTTGGTGCCCACACTTGCATTCCAAGATTTTTTAACATCTGAATTAAATCTGCCATCCATCAACTTCGATTCACAATAGTGATCGGCTAATTTTTACGTAGTAACTGGAAAGCAGGACTATAACCTGTAATTTGATCACGTGGTGTTACGTCACTGTTTGATCACGTGGTATGACGTCACGCATTCTGTAGCCTATACATACTGCTTAAGCTCAACCTCGCTTGTACAACTTTTAGCCCGACCAATTCGGTTGATATCCCCCTCCCACTCGTCTAGTGTATAAGTTTTTAGTTTAGCGCTAGTTCCAGCCGGGGCCAGGTGTTTTGAAACTTAAGCTAACCTATAAACCACCGCGCCTTTGTAAATTTAATAATTGTACTCATTTCCACATCTCTATGAAAATAATGTTTTTTATGGTCTTCCTTGAGTTGATACTTTTAAGGAGGCAACATTGATTGTTACATATTATTAGTTCGTAGTAATGCTTTGTAATTATTTAGTATAGCTAGAGGACGAATATGAAATGTAGTGGAGGGAGTTTGCCCTAACCTAGCGAATATTTGTAGCACGCAGGAATTTTGTTTTCTAATTCTGTGACCAGCCGGTAACAACGTAAAACGAGGGTGAACTGGGACACTTTCCTGCAAAACTCATTCCAGCACTACATATCTTACCGTTTTAAAGTAGTCCTCGCGGCCTGCTACGGTTGTAGCAACGTTGAAGACCATTCATCTGTAGTCACCAGACTGGAGACCATTCATCTGTAGTCATCAGACTGGAGACCAGTCATCTGTAGTCACCAGACTGGAGACCATTCATCTGTAGTCACCAGTCTGGAGACCAGTCATCTGTAGTCATCAGACTGGAGACCAGTCATCTGATTTGTAGTCACCAGACTCGAGACCAGTCATCTGATTTGTAGTCACCAGACTGGAGACCAGTCATCTGATTTGTAGTCACCAGACTGGAGACCAGTCATCTGATTTGTAGTCACCAGACTGGAGACCAGTCATCTGTAGTCACCAGACTGGAGACCAGTCATCTGTAGTCACCAGACTGGAGACCAGTCACCTGATTTGTAGTCACCAGACGTTACTCTGTTATTGGAGGGTTAAACTTAAAGGCATTTCACGCATTTCCGACATACCTGAGGCCGCATAGTTACAACCGTTACCCATACAAGCACAGGGGTTACCCATACAAGGGTTATAAGTTATTTTATAACTGCTTAGCGTAACCAGATCCATTAGCCTTACTATTATTATTATAAAGGAGCACTGATTAGCCTAACGTTTCCATCTCCATTCTCCCCCGAATATTTTAGAGCTATTCGCAGCCAGCCAACCCATTATTGGCTACCGAGGCGCTATTTTTTTAACATCCTGGTCCGCTGTCCAGGTGTCAGCTCCTTCACGTCAGGTTCACTCCACCAGCCTCATTCCTCTGGTTCCCTTCACCGACCCAGCCCAATTTAGCTGATTTATAGGACCTTATTGTGAGTAATAGTTGACACATGTTCTGTGGTATGTCGCTGAGTAGACCTCCTAATTCTACCAGGGCTACAGTGCCGTTATTCTAACATTGTTACTTACCACGAAATAGAGAACATTTACGAGGGCTATAACTTAACATAGTGCATTTTCAGTGCAGTCTACAATCTGCTAAGCTCTATCCAGTAATTATCAGCATTAATCAAGTTTCATGCTATAATGTAGCGAGATCGTGTAGGTCAAGGTGATAAGAACACCTTGTCACCTTGTCACTTGTCACGTGTCACCTTGTCACCATGAACGTGAACTAACTAACACATTGCCACATGGCTCTGTAAACTCCTGTATTTAGTTGTCTAAATTACCATGATAAGTCCCTCTTCAATCCTGGAATACTCGGAGACCTTGTTAAGACAGTCCCTGATGTGTCTTCATTACATTTCCTTGCTCACCTGGTAACCACGAGCCAGCTTGTACGGCAGTGTTTCGATATGCTAATTGTCGTGGATCATGTTTGTTGATTGATTCTACTTTATAAGTACACATTGTTTGACATGAGGTACTGAGCAGGGTCCAGACTCTACTCTGCTAATGATGGGCTCCAACCTTCATTCCTTGTTTATTATTGTATATTTTATTACTTTCTACCGACAAGGTGACATTTTGTACAGTAGGACAGGTTGTCGTAAATTTGAGGTTAACAATTATCTATTTTATCAGTTAACCTCACAAATAACCGGTTCTTAACATTTTGTTGCTCTCATCTTAAGTTTAACTTATCCATGGGTACCAATTGTCGTCCAACGTCAACAAAACTATTATATGCCCTTTATTTTTTTGAAAAATTGAGGTTAACATATTTTCTTAAAAATCAGTCTTTTGGCTCTCCTGAAAACACTTTTAAAATCTATCTTCTCGTGACACGCACTCAATGTTAACCTCATATCTCAGCTTAGGAGCAAAATATCAAAAATCGCCTCATATTTCTGTTGGTCAAGACCTTGACAAACACTTTTTCCAAGTAGTTACAAGGTCCCATGATGTAAACTGTAAAAGATGATAGATTTCTGCCAAAACCTTATTTAAACTTAAAGTTTTCATCAACAATAGAATTACAGGTAAACCTCAAAATTTGACGCGCGATATCTACAGATGGGAAACTTTTTTCGTTGAGGACAAAAACACCCCCTGTGGCTTTAACACTGCATCGTGTATAGCAAAACAGATCGTCTATTGTAATAATGATTAGGGATAATGTTTCCAATTCGAATACCCACAATATATGGGTGCCAGATTAAGAGTCCAGAGCACGTGTGCTCTAGCATGGATGTTACTGGTTTCCCAAATCATTTAGTACATTCAAATCCTGTTTACTTGTGCCTGCCCTAACCAGTCTGGGCATTTTTCCAGACAAAATTATTTGTCACCATTGTTTTTATAATTGTTACATTTCTGTATAATTTTGTACTATCTGATGAAATTTGAAACAATGAAGACTAGTGAAAGAATGTTGAAGTGTAATAAGTCACAATGAATACTAGTGGAATATTGGTACGCCGAATATTGAATACCGGACCATTGTGGACCATTGTGGACCATTGTGGACCATTGTGGACCATTGTGGACCATTGTGGACCATTGTGGACCATTGTGGACCATTGTGGACCATTGTGGACCATTGTGGACCATTGTGGACCATTGTGGACCATTGTGGACCATTGTGGACCATTGTGGACCATTGTGGACCATTGTGGACCATTGTGGATCATTGTGGACCATTGTGGACCATTGTGGACCATTGTGGACCATTGTGGACCATTGTGGACCATTGTGGCATAGTTGACGTATCATCGTGGACGTACTGTTAACTTGTATGGCTTTGCAATACCTGAATTGTCGTACTGAAACTCATTACCTTTCAGTATCTTAACAAGAATGTAATAATATTATCAGGAATGTAGTTACAATAAAAAAGATAATTCTGCGTCAAGATTTTTTGTCCGTAAATATAATGTACAATTTAAGTCACTGTCAATTTTAAATGTTAGTCATTATTGAAAATTCCTTACATAAATTTGTATCATCCGTAGGACGCTGAGGATATGGCTGATGGTAATTGGTAACGTGTCTTCCGTGGTAACCATAGTAATCTCTCTCTTTAATCTTATCTCTTTTAATCTTTTATCTCCTGTACACGTCACACTATTCGTTAATTTTCAGATGGGCCTTATTTGTTAAATTTTATGTTCATATTTGCTCCGATTTCGTTAAAAATTATTTTACAATGGATAAATATTTTACAGTTGTATATTTTGTTTGAAATAAATTTCGTCGTCAAATTTTTAATGTAAATATTGATCGTTATATTTGAATTAATACTATTTCAGAATATGTATATGACGTAGAAATATCGATACGTTATTCAGCTCTTTATTTTCATTAGAATCTGTCTTCACTGAGTCTATCAGAAACAATCAGAAATTTGAATGAAAGAACTATCATAGTAACACCATAGTAACACCATAGTAACACCATTGTAACACTATAGTAACACCATTGTAACACCATTGTAACACCTCCTCTTCTCGTAGGACAGGATATGGTTGGAGGTAACGTGTCGTTATTCTACGACTGCGAAGGCGGGGAGGAGCACCTAGACGAGTGTAACGAGGTCTACCTCCGCCTTACTCCCTACTCCATCTCCGTGATCCTGGCTGTTTGGCAAACGCTGCTTGTTGTCTTTGGTGTCTTGGGGAACAGTGTTGTGATCTTCGCAGGGAGCCAGTACTCTGCCTTTAACCTGGACAGTGTGACGGTGTTCTTTGTTCAGCAGCTGGCGGTGGCGGATCTGATCTACTCAGTGATCATCACGGCTCCCTGCGCTCTCACTCACATCATGAGAGGCTGGTTTCTGGGGTACTGGACATGTGTGGTGTACGGATACCTGGTCTCCTTCCTCAGTCCTGTGGGCTTCCTACTCACTATGAGCATCTCCCTGCACAGGATTGCTAGATGTTATCGTCCTATGCAGATGAGCAAGTTTAAGAAGAAGCACGCTGTCATTAGTGTGATTGCTATATGGATCGTCTCGTTCGTGGCTAATATCATGTTCATAGGACACGCCCCAGCCGGAACACTCCCCCAGTTTAACCCTTCCTTTCCACTCTGCTACTTCAATGTGGAGGATCCTGATTACCCACTACTTCTGAAAGTCCACCTGATCCTCTTCATGGGAACACCCTTCAACATCATTGTACTCACCAACCTTATGCTGCTGAGATACTCCAAGCAAAAGACAAAGGACCTCAGAAAAGCCATCAAGGAGAAGAAAGAAACTGACTCCAAAAGAGGATTTAACACCATCTACTTGATCTCTGGCTTGCTTATCACTACCTGGACCCCCCTCATCACTATTGACTTTCTCAGATCTTTCTTCAGCGGCTTCATCCGTTCTCACCATTTCATGAGGTTTGCAGGTAACGCGTTCCTGGTCAGCAGTTGTGGTAATCCTATTATATACTGCTTCGCCAACCCAAAGTTCAAAGCTTTCCTCATAAAGCTCATGTCCCGGTGTTACTCTAACGCTAGAAATTCGCTAATGGATAGCATCGGTGTTTCTTCTGTTACCGTACCCCGAGAAAAGGCAACCTCGCGATCCTGTATTTCCGAATCTAGAGGTCAAGGCAACAGGTCCTCTAAATCAAACTCAACTGCTTCTATGGGTATTCCTAGCAAACAGATGTCACCCAGGCGGAGTCTCAGCAAGCTTTCCACTGTCAAGGATTTGAGCGAGAGCAGTAATAAAAGTAAAACTTTCCGAGGTGATGCGAACGAGCGATCCTCATCTTCCATGTCTAAATCGGAGCAGAACTGCAAGCAAGTTGAGCCTGAAGCGTCTTCTCCTGAGCGACTGAACCTTGAAGACGACATCATTCAAGAAGTAGAAATTTAGAACTAAGTGTATCTTAACCGTCACAGGCAACCCCCATCAAATGACTTTTATATGTCATCTTCAACAACATCAAGACATACCGTCAGTGTGGTAATTTAAACGGTAGTTTCCGTGAATGTGCTATAAGCTAACTTTGGCTCCAATAATCTATCATAAATCTGACAAAAATGCAGGTACTAACAATTTGCGATTTACTATTAAGAGTTCTTAGCTGAACATGTATGAGGCGGGAGCTAAAAATACCTGTAGATGTTACCAGCACTGCTCGTACAAGTACCAATTAGGTAAACTGCTGCTTAGTTTATTACTAAATTGATAACTGTTAGGAACTGCGGGTACACCCACCAATGTATGTAACCTTATAGCAACAGCAGGACCGGAGTGAACTGTTATATTTAAATTTATAGATAAAGTTATAAGAATTAAACTTGAAACTGTTTTCTTAATATAAGCCGCGCGTCAAGAGTGATTTGTAAACGAAATCTTGGTGCGAAGTTTGTCAACACTTTGATAACTTATTTAATGATAACTATTTAAACCTTACCTTCATTAGTGTTTCGTATTTAAGCAAACACACAAAATTTCATAATTTCTTGGACGATTATCCATTATCCAACTTAAACTTTAAAAGTCTGGATGAATTATTGATTATATATATCAAATAATTCTCTTCTGATATAATGTAATGATCATATTATATCATTTTTATATCCAACCATTGTTTATCTGACTAAATCCCCACTTTAACAAAATAATTTATGGAGTTAAAATTTACAAGCGAGTCCTGGAGTCTGCAACTAATTGGAAGAGGCTTATCGAGCTCTGAAGACTTACCTCCTTCTTTAAATACACAGTACTGGGAAATTATAAAGTATAACTAGAGTGGGAAATTATAAAGCACTGGGCTGGGAAATTATAATGGTATGACTAGAGTGGGAAATTATATAGTACTGGGAAATTTTAGAATCATAATGAGAGACGTTTTAAATTTTGATCCGGTTCGAAACACAATTAAATCACATTACATTCAATTACACATAAAACAATTATATTGTCTAAGGGGATAAGATTATGTTTGCGTTTCATTGCTCAACAGCTGTTCGAAGGATCAAATTTAAGATTGTCTAAGGGGATAAAATGTTTACTCCTTTCGTTCTACCCCCGCGCTGTTTCAAAGGGACATACACCAGAACTGTTTAATGATTTGGCCGGGTATATGACCTTATATTTGGAAAATACAGACATTTTTGAGAGAAAGCGCTTTCGAAAAATTCGCTTTTTGTTGTTTAAATTTGTTTAAAATTTGTGTGTAATGTGTATGTTTCCTTAAAATAAACTTTTGGTGAGTAACTATGTCCCTTTAAGATCGGGTTTCGTACGGTCTAGATAACTGGGTCAGATTATGCATGAGGTTGAGAATATGGTTGTTACTTAGCTACAATTAAGTTTATGATCTAGCGGGATGAACCTTGATGCAATGATAGGGGTTCGTTCAGCCTGGTTCACCAGATGTAATTATGCACCACATCTCCTGGTATAACTACAACTCAATCTCAATATTAACGTCTTTCTGATGTGTTCCTGCGTATTGACGTCACTCTGACTACTTCATGGCAATTCCTTAGTTCCTGTAACCCAGGAAAGTGGTAGTGGTCTGTGTGTGAAAGTGATCACTGCTCACTTTCCCAGCTTTATCGGTCCTGAAAGCGTGGAACTAGCGAGGTAGGGTAGGGATACTGGGATCCAAGTGTGATGAGTTTAGCTCTGGCTGCCAACTGTCTGAATCTCAGCTGCTCCTGCGGCATTATCAGAGTCAGTATATTAGGGAAAATTATAGAAATCAGAAATTAGAAATTAGTATCATTAGCATTGTTGAGTCTATAGAGTATAGAGTATCTAGCCAATCATCAGATGGTAAGTGCTTTACCTGTTCTCTACGTTCATTCTCGTCCCTCTTATTTTTAGCGCGACGATTCTGAAACCACGTCTTAATCTGAGTCTCCGAAAGAAAGAGCTCCTTGGCTATCTTGGTCCGCTCTACTGGGGTGAAGTACCGCTTGTAGTCAAAGTAAGTTTCTAGCTTGGCTACCTGCGGGAACGTTTAGTGATCAAAATATTAGAGTTGTCACTCACAATTAATATTTGAGCTTATCGAACTCGGTAAATTTGAATATTAAGTTGTTGTACAAAGATTAAGTTATCAGAAGTTCGGCTGCAAATTTTGGTAATAGTGGTACCTGCTCGTCAGTAAACGTTCTCCGAGCTCCCTTCTTCTTTTTTGAGTCCGCTCTTTCCACCGTTTGTTGAACAGAATTTAGAGGAATAGTCATTTCCTGGAGCTCCACTATAGCTGAACTTCCACTTTCAACTTCTAAATGGTGGTTCAATGTAATTGTAAGGTCATAATAAATCAATCAAATCAGAAGCTTTTGAATTCAATCAGGCTGTGCACCTAGAGAGGGTGATACATAGAGAGGGTGGTACCTAGAGAGGGTGATACATAGAGAGGGTGGTACCTAGAGAGGGTGGTATCTAGAGAGGGTGGTACCTAGAGAGGGTGGTATCTAGAGAGGGTGGTACCTAGAAAGGGTGGTACCTAGAGAGGGTGATACATAGAGAGGGTGGTACCTAGAGAGGGTGGTACCTAGAGAGGGTGGTATCTAGAGAGGGTGGTATCTAGAGAGGGGCAGGGAAAAAAGGATTTCGCGATTATTTTGGCCAAAAATCGCGATACCGCAAATTTGAACAGATTATACATTAAACTATACATAAAATTTGTCGCAAATAATGGGGAAAATCGCAATTCCGTACATGCCGCGATTTCCTTTTGTCCCTGAGGGGGTACCTAGAGAGAGTGGTATCTAGAGAGGGTGGTATCTAGAGAGGGTGGTATCTAGAGAGGGTGGTACCTAGAGAGGGTGGTACCTAGAGAGGGTGGTACCTAGAGAGGGTGGTATCTAGAGAAGTAGAGAGGGTGGTACCAAGAGAGGGTGGTACCTAGAGAGGGTGGTACCTAGAGAGGGTGGTATCTTGAGAGGGTGGTATCTACAGAGGGTAGTACCTAAAGAGGCTGATATCTGGAGAGGATGGCATGCCCAGATTTGGCGCGGTTTTTGCCTTTCCCCAACTGTTTACAGTTATGTTTGCAGTCACTTAGATAAAGCAGGCTTGGTAATGATCATAGCCGTCTCGTTCGTAATTACTTTGTGTGCCGACTGTCTAGCCCGCATGTCAGCCGATCCAAAATGAGCAAGATAGTTGATTAGCTTTTACCTTTTCACGTCAACCTTCAATATCCCTCTAAAACTGGCAGTTTTCTGGCCCGCAATATAATCTACAAATTCATTTGGATTCCCAAAATATTCGACGTAATTTTAAACTGCCATACGGAAGACGTTTAATTATGATATTAGTTTCATGGCAGACTGAGTACTAGGGTGGTACCTAGAGAGGGTGGTACCTAGAGAATGGCAGACTGATATTCGATTGTAATTTATATTCCAATTTCTTAATTTTAGCCAATCGAATAGCCAATAACGCACGATAGTCGCTATCTCCATCAAGGATTATTATTTTTGTTTGGCTTTAAAAAGGTTAAAAATATGCAACAACTTTATTTCCAAATGAATAAGTCCGATTTACAGTCGTCACCTCTTTTAAAGAGTGGGGCACCAGCTAGACAGGGTGGTATCTAGAGAGGGTGGTATCTAGAGAGGGTGGTACATAGAGAGGGTGGTATCTAGAGAGGGTGGTACCTAGAGAAGGTGGTACATAGAGAGGGTGATAGAGAGAGAGATGTTGGTATCTAGAGAGTGTGGGTACCTAGAGACTAAAGAGGGTGATACCTAGAGAAGGTGGCATTTAGTGATTTAAAGAGTAACTACAGCAAAAACATCCATTTACCGCTCAGTTTGGGGAAAGGCGTAAGCCGCGCCAAATCTGGGTACAGAACCCAATTTCTATGAATATGATAATAATATGAGTTTGATAACTAATTTGGGCGTTATGATATTTGGTGAAAACGTGAATTTAGAGATGCAAGCCGCAAGCCGGTTAAATCAGAATGTTTCATTTTTTATCTAGATCTCTCTAAATCAGGGAGGAGGCAATGCTCGCGAAATATGCAATATGGCAAGGGATGAAAACTTGGCTTACCTGTAGGGGAAGTATCCTTCGGAAGACTGAGCCCCATTGTGGAAGGATCCATCAAGCTTTGCAATTGTCGAATATGTGAGAGGTTAAGGCAGTAATTCGCAAACACCTGCGGTAATATTGGTCATCGTATAACTCATTGCAAATTAATATCAGATATTGACATTGTAACTGGCATTACTATCTTAGTAACCTGCTTAAATAGTACAGACAGATCAGTCTAAAAAAATCGATCTGCTGACACTCAAAGCTTTCAGAGGTTTTTTGACGTTTTTGAGTCCCATTAGGTGCCCTTTATGGCTGACCAACTTCTCCACTTGTCTTAAGGCCACTTTTTGCCACTTTACCACTTTTTACCACCTTTTTTGTTTGTCGAATATCTTTATAGTTAGGGCAAGAATTGCTGTTTATGGGTCAATCTGTGAACAAATTCGTAACAAAGGTTTGTCTACAGGAATGTGTTGTCCATGGTCCCAGGAACCACAAAAAAAAACCGTCCAGCTGAAACTTTTGGGCAAAAATTTTTATAGTCATTTTTCTCCAGGAACCCATACGCCCCACCCCTAATATTGGTTATTCGGCTCCCGAAGGTCTTGAGATCTCCATAGGGGGTGCAAAATGACCGCAATGGCCACATTATGGCAGGCGAATGATAGTTTCAGAACGATTGGAGCTTTATTTTTCGAAATAAATGGAATTTTTCGAAATTTTTCTCAATTTTATTGAAATTTCGGAAAAAAATACACCAAATTATTTTTAACGCTTATTTCAAATCTATTTAAAAACTTATCTACAAATAACAAATACAGTCAATCTAAAATGTGTATTCTCAGTAAGTACCATGACAA